TTATGTGTGCAGCATTTACAGTTGATTCCGATTTATTTAATTTATTTCAAGAGTCTTTCCTCTACCCAACAAGGTATTTATGGGTTAATTCAAAATGAGTACTCAATAGATTTTCCATTTCTAAAAGATTTAGCTTTTCCAACTTCATTGCTATCTTCCTCTGGTTGCCTGCTTTCTTTAATCCTTGTCCATTTCTTCACCCTTGCCCTGCCTTAGCTCTTCCCCCCCTTTTTTTTATTCTCTGATTAGTTACCCAGCTCTAAATTTCTGTCTCTGTTGTCCCTGCATCTGGATTTCAGATCATCACATTGGGAAAAATAATTCCAGTAACCACTTCCTTCACCTTGCTGAGCATCACGCCTATTCTTGTGTACTGCTTTTACTGACAAGTCCTGATGGCGAGAGCTTGGAACTGAAGGGACATTGGACTTGGGTGACTGAGGCACAATTTGCAAACTAATCCACATCACTGAGTTCAGAATAATTTTTTTTCTGAAACCAAATACAGATTCATTTTTGATGAAGAATCTTGTGTCCTTGTGCTAATTATGTCCTACTCCACGTTCTGAAACCTCATCTTTCTTCCTGTTGGACACACACACACACACACACACACACACACACACACACACATATGGTCCTAGATTTTTGCTTGAGAATCAAAAGCCTTTACATATGAGATCAACTCAAGATTATTAGATGTATTTCTGTGGAATGTTATGTTTTATGTGGGCATAAGGATTTTATTCTGGGAACCTCAGTGATAGGAAAGATTAAAAAATTTAGAAAATCAAAGAAATACAAAATTTTGTTTTAATTCAGCAAGTATAAATAGAGTATGTTGATGATTATTGAAAGAATCACAAAACTAAAAAGACTTACTCTGACTTCCAGAAGCTCAGAACTCAGTGGGAGAGATGCCCAAATACATAAATATAGGTCAGGCTATAAAGTGTTGCAAAAGAAAAATAAACAAAAATATCTACCATGAGGGCACATGATGTGATGAGCACTGGGTGTTATATATAACTAATAAATCATTGAACACTACATCTGAAACTAATGATGTACTATAAGTTGGCTAATTGAATTAAAAAAAGATATCTACCATGATAATATACAGTAAGAAGAGATCAACTTTACCCAAGAGGATTTGAAAAGCTTATCAGAAAATAATGGAATAAATATGCTTATATTGTAGGCATAGGAAACATTTTGAGAAAAGAAGCTGATGATTTGCCTCCTTCATTTATTCATGAAACCTTGATTAATAACCTAATGCTAATTGGTGTTAGAGAAATAGAAGGCACGTCTCTGCCATAAGGAGCGCCCAACCTGGTTAGGAGGAAAGACACAATTACAATCGGTTAACTGATGTCACTGGGGAAGGATAGGCTCTGAGAAGTCCAAGGCAGTGATTTCCCAGAATCTCTCAAAGATCTTGTAAGAAATTATGATGCCTGAAAATCACAATCACTGTGGGTATCTGCTTTTTGAGAACAACTCCTCAGGTGGTTCTGATGATCAAACAGTTTTAAAAGTCAATCACCTCTGAAATAATGAAACCTGCATCTAGAAGGAGGAAGAGGAGTTAGGTAAGTGGTGAAGAAAGGGGAAGAGCAGGGATCTTCCAGACAGAGGAAAAGGCTTTGTCAAGATGCCAGAGAGTGTTACTGGATCAAAGGAACTAGATGCATGTTAAAGGGGTCATAAGTAGGTGGATCTAGAGAAGTAGACAAGGGTCAGATTGGAAAGATTGAAAGAATTATCACTCCTAGGCCCCATTTTTGGCCTTATCACTTTCAGTTAGTTTCATCCCTGTAAATCAGTTTGGCTTAGTGGAACTTGGTTGAACCGATTTAGTTGATCTTTGCCAAAAAATAAAATAAAGCAAACAAAAAAATAAACAAAACACTGTCCACCAGTGTTTTGATCATCTTTTTAAATCTCTTTACATATGCAAGAACATCAGTTAATAGTTTGCATTTGAGGTATGCCATTAACAACAGTAATATACTCTGATTTCTCTGTGTGTTCTAATCAGTGATCTTTGATTACAAAAAAAAATCCGATAAAATTTAACTTTTAGGCATTTGCTGTAGCAAGGTGTGTGTGCAATGCTGCAGGTGGTAAGAGGATTAGAAGGTGCCCCCTATACCCTTATGAATCCTACAGGCCTGGTGGAAAGCAAAAAATGGAAGAGGTTGGGGTCCTATCTGTCTCATTAGCAGTTGTGTCACCTTGGGTAAGATACTTTCCTGGAGTCTCATTTTCTTCATCTGTAAAATGAGATGGCTGAAAAGATTATCTCCAAGATAGTCTTCTGGTTTTAATCATGGGTTTCCAGTGATCTAGTAGGAAAATATACGGTGCTTATATAAGATAGAAGTCTATATTACACAGTGGTATTAGCACGGTGTTTTCTGGAGTCAGTCTGACCTGGGATCCTGGCTCCATTATCTACTAGTTGTAAAAACAAGGATAGGTTAAAATATCACTCTAGTCACCTGTTTCCTCATCCATAATATGTGTGTTTATAATAGCAATGGCCTCTTCTGATCATTGGGAAAATGAAAAGACATGATATTTGAAAAGCAATGAGCTCAGTCTGTGTCATGTAATAAGCCCTCAAAAAATGTTTGCAATGATAATAATAATTATTATCATTATATATAATATGTATTATTATTATAAGCCAAGAGTTAATATTAATTCAGAGAAGAGAGTACATACAAATAGAGGCCTCACAGTGTACTCAAAAGAAGGTAACATTTGAGAAGTTCCTTGAAGATAGAAGAGGATTGCAGTGGGTAGGTTTGTGAGAGAGAGGGAAGAGGCCAGAGTGGCAGGAGAAAGTCTTTCTAAAGGAGGGTAGAACTTGGCAATGTTTCTATATATGTGTAAAACAAGACACATAGTCCAATAGAGCCTTCTGCCTTTCATGAGTGATGTCACTCAATTTCACTCCTGAGGGCAGATTGGTTGAAACTATTTCACTGATAAATTCAAATGAGTGAAGTGACTTGCTTCATAGTTTCAGTAGAGAGCTTTTGTAGTACCAAGATGCTAATCCAAACGTTATGAATGCCAGGTCCTGCGATTCTATCCTATTCAATCTTACATTGATCTGACATCTGAATCCTGCTTTAGGATTTTATGGAGTCAGAATTTTGGACAGGTATCAGGTGGAGTAGAAGCCTACCCCTGAATATTTGCCAGATGTGAGTGGGCCTTGAGCTCCTCAGAAGGACTTCCATTTCCCTGACTCATTTATGTTGGCTTTCGTAGTTTCCATTGGACACCTGCCTGTGTTCCATTTTGATTGTCTGAGATCCAAACTCGGATTCTACCACTTTCTAGTTCTGTCAGTTTGGTTAAGTCACTTGACAAATGGTCCTCATTTTCCTCATCTGCAAAATGGTGATGTGATGCCTTTCTAATTACGTCTTAAATAAAAAATGAAATAATGTAATTGAAAATGTTCATGAAATGCAGGTAAATATAACTAAGGTAAGTTGATAGAGAGTTCTTTCCATTAATTCTTTAAAATGGTAATAGAACTTTTATTCATGTTATCAAGGACCTAGAGGTAGGAGAAAAAGCATAAGATGAAGAAACAGAGTGCTCTGCTATATCCATAGTTTAGTATATGTTTTGGGCAGTAGAGAAAAAATAAAGCTGGAGTGGCAGGTTATAGTCACCTTGTGGAACATATTCAATTCCAGATTGAGGAGCATGGATTACTTGCTATTTGTTGAGTTACTGAAGGTTTTAGACAAGAAAGCAAAAGTTATCAAGTAGCAGAGAGACCAGGTAGCATCCCTTATTACTGCTACCTGTAAACTCAATTCCTATGTGTTCTAATCCTTAGCCTTTAACCAGAGTGGAGAGAAAACAAGAATGAAAGGCAAAATGGTGAGAAAACGTTAGTAATGGCAAACTGAATGTGATTGAGTCAATTGGAAAAAGTTCAGCTTGTGAGATCAAGCCTGATTCTGATAGATTTACTTAACACTAATTTAATACTGAACATAAGGATATATATGCAGGGGTGTAGGCCATTCAGGAGAAAAGTTTCATGTTGGGATGGCTTTTTGAGTTACGTGTTAACTTCTAAGCAGTAAAATGCTAACCTTTGATACCAGGTTTATTCTAGCACGGTTCACCCAAAGTACCCTTGAAGGTTGAATTGTACTGTATCATGATGAAGTCTTGTTTTTCCAGGTGAAATAAGTTACAGAATAAGTAGTGATGTATGCACTGCTGCTGAACTGAGGTGTGAGTTTTGATGAATGATTCACCGAGTTATCTCTGAGACTTAAGTAAGACTCACATTCTATGTAAGGTAAGAGATAAATGAAGAGCATAAAATTTCCAGGACTTCCTGCTCTCCCAAGCATTCTCCAAATTGGAGAGTTCAAGTATCCCATCATGAACTTATTCATGAACTCTCTACCAATGGTAGTCCTTCCTCTATCTGAATATCTTCAAATATCTTCAATGTCAAGAAACCCAACAGAAGAGACTTCTTTTCAGTCATTTCTAATTGTTGGAAATTTTTCCCTTAACTGAATCCAATTCTGCCTTTCTATACTTTTAAATACTTTCTACATTCTCTGAAGCCTTCCAGAAAGATCATTTCTTTCCCACACGGCTCTCCTCTTATTATTCAAAACCCACTATCATGTTTACTGTCTCCTTTATTTAGATTTAAAATGCCCTCTTCACCTTAACGTTCTGCGGCCATATCTAATATGAGATGCCTATGAATCTCCTCACTAACTACACTAACTGGAAGCTTCTCCTCTAGATGGGCTCTAGTTTATCTTAAATGGTGGTACTCAGAACTAAACACACCAAATCCAAGCATGACCTAGCCAGGATGAATGCTAGAATTCAGTCTAACAGCACATAAGCTTGTACAATGGGCTTTTCAATTGGATACATTTTAGTCTTAGTTTCAACTGAGGTCACTAGATGATAAGTACCCACATTCCACAATGAGACCAGAGACCCCAGACAGACATTGCAAAAGAGGTGTCTTAGAACCTGTGTCACAACTCTTAGTGACCCAACTATCTCAGCCCTGTCTGCCTACCTTCCAACTCCCGCCACCATACCGGGCGAACTGCAAGAAAGGAGATAAATTATTAGGAGACATTTTTGAAGACAGCTGGTGGTATGTGTTGAGTCCCACTTCCCTGTCACCATGGAGAAGGGTGAGAGTTCCCACACCTCACTCTATGCCTAGGGAAAAGGGTTTCGACTCATCTACTCTGATATCATAATTCATTGATTGCTTCTTATTTTCCAGGCACTGTATTAAGACCTTGAAAAATGTTATTTATTTCTCATAGCCATCTTAGACAAAATGTATAATTCTTATTTTATTGAGCAAGCAATTAAGTAGCTTTCCCAGGAGCTCACATGTGTTAAGTAGCTTAGCCTGCACTCGAGTTTGCCTGACTCTGAGGTCCAAGCTTTCAACCACCGATTTATTTTTCTATTAGTTATAGTCAGCATGGCCTTTGACCATAGCAACTGATTTTACTGTGCAGGTTTTTCCAGTGAGCACTGGGCAGTTAAATAATGAGTGAGAAGATTATTCATAAGTTGTGGAGTAAATCAACTATTCCTTCTAAGGACTTGTATTATTATAAAGAACATAGATAGAAGGGACAGTTTGTGACACTAACAGAAACAACGGAGTTAACGTGAAAACCACTTGCTGTCTTTCTCAACGGAAAATGCAGAGCTGCTTCTACCTAGAGGCCAACAGGAGAACTGCAGTCTTTCCTCTTGTACAATGAACTCCTTTCACAGACCAGCAGTCCAGCCGCTAGGTTAAGGATGCCACTCACCTCCTCACCAGGTGGCTCTAAAGCTTCAGCCAGGAGCAGTGTGGGCCCAAGGGAACACAGTGTATATGAATGGACCAAAATGTCTTGGGGATCATGCAGAACAGAGAGCTCTGGAGCTGCAAAGATAATAGCACACCTTCTACCAGTCTAGGATTGATCCTGGGGGACCCTGGATGGTTCAGAAAGACCAAGTCCAACCTTACTTCCTCTTCTGTGAAATGTGGGAGCTGGGAGGATTCAATCCAATTTAGCTGATATTTGTTAAGACTTCCTGCATGCCAGGCAGAATTTTCAGCACTTGAGATCCACTGGTGAACAAAACAAAGCTGTCCCCATGAAGCTCAGATGAGATAATGCATTTGAAAATATTTTGTAAACACTGCTGTGCCACATGCACAGGAATAATTGTCCTTTGTGTTTCTACTACATTGGGACGCCCTGTTCGTTTCAAACTAATGTGCCTAGGCACTGGTTTTGGAAGCGCAACTATAACTTAAGGCTGAATTCAGAGTTACCTGAATGGAGTTGTTCACTTCACACCATGAGCCTGGCTCTGGGCCACTCACTTTTCACATTTCATAGCTTTATTGAGACTTTTTCAGTTTTAATTGTCTACAGTAGGTACAATTCTGATGATCATGATCATATCAAACTCTCCTATTATTAGCAGATAGTAAGTTGGCCGCATGCCTTAGACACACACACACACACAGAACACACGATATTGTACACTCCTGCATGCAAACTTAGAGGAAATACACATTCCTTTTATTAAAAACAATTATGTACAATAAGTCTGGAATTTGTTAAGCTACCGATGATTTAGATAAACCTGAGAAGGCTCAAAATGTCAAGTAACACTGTTTCCATACTGCTCATTCAATGAAACTGTTAATCACAAAGAAATCTAGTTCAACTATATTAAAATCACGGACAATAGAAAAATAAACATTTTTGCAAAAACACTAAACATACTAGAATGCAAAGTCACAAGTTTTGATATATAACATATATTCCTCTTCATATTAATTTGTAATGATGTGTATAATACAATTTATGACATAATAAAAGTTGTAACAGAGTTCAGCAGCCAAGTCATTTACAGTTATCACTATGAAACTTGAAATTGAAGTTACCAACTGAACAACAAGCACATTAAAATAGCAGTGTTGAGCTTGCTGGTAGCGTGTTACTTAGCGACTCCATCTCAAAGAACTCAAGATTGTATCTTTCACCTTAAGAAGAAACACAACACAGAAATGTAAGCAGAACTAGGGCAGTAAGGGATTGTACAGGCTGCCTCTTTCTACCCACCCCAGTTTTTCCTTGAACTCTAATCATCTATAATGCCCACCCCTCCAGACTTCTAAAATGTAATGGATCTACTTTGAATTTAGGACAACCTTTCACATTGGAATTGGAAGTTTCAACCGTATTTGGGGGCACAATTCTAAAGGTCTTGAAAAGACAATATAAACTTTTCTATGTCATATAAAATATAGACAATACAGACCTAGTCTGGCAAAGATATTTTGTATTTACTGTTGAGCTTATGAAGATCGGGACCAGGTCTTCCATCTTCCACGTTTTTCTGTGTCCCAAGAACCTAGCCTAGGACTGAAGTCAGAGTCGTCTGTCCATAAATGTGTACTGCACAGAATGGAATTAAACCGGGATTGAGTTGATAAAGCTAATTATGGGAGTCTAGAGCATGGGCAGAGAGCTAGAGGGATTTGTCGGTATAGGCTTGTGAGTGATTTGTTCTGCTTCTACACCCTCCATCTTCACAGCTGCCTGCACATTGAAATCTTCCTTAGAAATGCACACACATTCCACCATGAAGTCCTTCCTACTCTATGAAGTGTGGCTCTTCCTCTCTTGGATCCCCTTTCTTTCATGGCTTCACCCTCAGAAATAACATGGAAACCTGATTTGTCTTATGTTATTCTCTAAAAGTAACAAACTTTTGATTCTGGAACAGTTCTATAGTTGCAGGAATAGTACCTCCACCTTTAATCATTAACAATGTCCAGTACAACTTGGGGAATTCATAAATTAAGTTACAGTCTATACTTTTCCTGTGGAAGAGTCTCTGATTTCCCAAGATACATGTGCGCATGTGTGTTTGTATGTAGATCGTACAATGTGCTCAGCGTTTTCTCCCTCTCTTTGTCCTCTCCATTAAGTCCTGATAACTTGGATCTCATTGGTATTGGTACTCATGAGGGAAATGACGGCACCAAAGATACGATTCTGACATCTCCCTGCCCACACCTTTGTGATCTATAGTGTTTGACTCCGAAAGATAGTATGCTGGTTTTAATCCTGATTTTTCTTCTGTTCTTCTTAGTCTCTCAAAGCACAGTCATCTATTTCAGAATCAGAATTTTATACAAGACATTTATAACATGTGAACACCTGGCACCCCGTGCCCAGTTTCCTGAATTCAAATCTTTGAAGGTGGAGCTCCCACTTCTGCAGTTCTAACAAGTGGCTTTGGAAATGGTAGGGCGCAATGAAGTTTTAGACCCATTGCCCTGGGTGCACTGTTAGCAGGACAAGTTCATTGTGAAAGGTCTTCTGGATGGAAAGCTAGCTGCTAAGTCCAGAACTTTTCCTGTAATGGGTTGTGTGCTTTTGGAATGGGTTTCCTCTCCCAGATCAATAGAGCATGAATGTTTTAGATTTAGGGCACAGAGAAAGATTTGTGACTCACCAAAGTAGCATGTGCATGGTAGCTGCCATAGGTAATTCCATTCTTTGAAAATGGGCACTTTAAAAAACAAACGTTATTTTTCCCAATTTTTAAGTAAAATAAGTCAATAAAATAAGTAAAATTGAAAGCATCTCTAAAGCACCTTACAAATTAATGATTACCGTTAACATATATATCCTTGCTTATGGTGACAGTTGGTTTATAGTCCACATATGGTTTTACATCAACTTTTACATTTAAGTTTACTTTTAAGTTTACATTTATATATTTGAACACAAGTGAATTAAAATGAGAAAATAATGAATTTAATTATAAAAGCTTATTGTTTTAATATACACTCAAAATATATTGTATCAATACTGATTTTAGCCTTTTACCTTAAATAGTATAACCCAATCATTTTTAAGTTGGAAAAAAAAAAGGAATCTTTCCTTGAGCTGTTCCTAAAATAACTATCTTAGTGGCTGATTCTTCCCAAAGTAATGACCTATTTGTAATTCTTCTCCTGTTCCTCACCAACCCCTTCTTTTTCTATCTCCCTCTCTCTCAGATTAAGAAACATGCAAAATAGTTTTTATTATTATCACTTAAATTTTGTGTTTTAGTTTAGAGACATCTATCTGATGATGATAAAATGGTGTATGTATGCTCTTTTAAGTATTTTTAAAAGACTTCTGGTTATGGAATATTTATGCCCAATAAGACCACCTGCTCAGGTATAGGTGAAACTGCAGTTGCCCGCACTATATCAAAAACTTTTTAAAGAATCCTTTTTCCTAATATAAACAGGATTGTTTTTTACAGGCATTCACACAGTGGTCCATGGGAGAAAAGTAATCTTATAGGGAATTCTTGGTCATGTTGATGTTTACCATTTAGCTACTTTTGTCAGATACTCCTCTAAATGATATACAGACACAGTATCGTTTAATGCTCACAAGCATCTCATGAAGATGGCACTCATACCTCCAATATTACAGAAACTACAACCCAAGTGCCCTCAACCTCTAAGCTTCAGAGCCAGGATTTCAGCACAGAGCTGGCTGGATGAAAATGCGCACGTCCTCCCTCCCGCCCTGTGGTGCCCAGAGGTTAGGAGCTGTGGCTCCACCTGGGGCCAGGCGCTAGAACCCCTTCAAGGGGCTGCTCTGCCCAGCACCGTGGAATGCAAACTCCCTGGAGCTAACACTTGTTTGGCATAGTTGCACCGGTGGCCTGTCTGTCTAAGGTAGTCAACGCATATTAAAATAGTCCTCATAATAAAATAGCACGCAGTCAACCGTGTAGCCTCCTTACAGAGGTGGGGAGGAGAATAGCTCACTTTCCCTGGAGGGCCTGAGAAAGATCAGCTTACAGGCGTCAGCATGGGGTGTGACCCTTCTTCTTTCTCTCCATCTTGGCCCTGGCACGTGCCTCGGGTGACCATCATCTGACATCAGCCCACAGTCGGGGCAGAAAACGTTACCAGGTCTCCTTTTCTCTCCCACCCAAGACACACTCAGCCCTTTCACTGACCTGGCTTCTGATTGGAGGCTGGGTGCTTTGGATAGTGACCTCCAGGACCCCTCTGTGGGTCACAGCCTGTTCGCATTACTCTGACCACAACTTAAGACGTCTGCAGTGGGCTGTGAGGAAAAGTAAAAGCCTGGTGTTTTCCCATCCCCAGGTAACAGAAGCTCGGAAGCCTGACAACGTTCCAGCCACCTGAGTGGGCCCAGGGCAGGCAGCTGCCCATGTGTCCCTTCCAGACAGGCTGCTCGCTAAAATGAGGGATCTTCTTCAGTACGTCGCCTGCTTCTTTGCCTTTTTCTCTACTGGGTTCTTGGTTGTGGCCACCTGGACAGACTGTTGGATGGTGAATGCTGACGATTCCCTGGAGGTAAGAAGTCAGCACCTTCTTTTTCTGACCCAAGCCTGTCCGAATTTTCTCTCAGTCCCACTGTCTCAGGACACTTACCAGGACTAATGAAAGAAATAATAGCCACCATGGACGGACTTACTCCTTACTTACTACTTGCTGAGTCTTACCTTATTAGCTCATTTAATCATCACAGCTAATCTATGAGGTAGGTGGTGTTGTTATCCCATTTTATAGATGAGGTAACTGAATAATCCCTCTTTTTTCAGCAGGATGAATTCACACAAAGGTAATCACATAACTCCTGTCACTGAGCCCTCCGGAAACTCACCTCTTCCTCCGCTGCCAATGCTAAATTGAATAACATTCCAGTGACACACTTTCTGACAACCAAACACTTTCTAATCTTGATTATGAGTAGCACGAGAGCCTCTCTTAAGAAGTGATAATGTAAGAAATCGAGTAATCAAACAAGGTATGTCAAACTTACCCAATTACTATGCAAGAGAAAAAATGTTATTTTAAGGAGTTTCCAAGTAGGAACAACTACTCTGAGGGAAAGCAAGTCTTTCCAGTGGGTCCTGAAGTACCAGGGACAGATAAGGATTTACAAAACCCTCTCAAAAATAAGCTGCTCTTGGAAGCCAACTGCTATGTAAGAAATGAGTTTGAAGCATTTTATTTTTCTTACTAGAGAAGCTCAGAAAGAAGCAATTTTGAAGTTTATAATAATTTCCTGTGGCTAGAGGAATCTGAGAAAGGTAGAACTGAGTAAAAATCTAATCTTCAAAATCAGATACTATTCATTAGTAAGGCTTCAGAAAGCGTGGGTAAGAAAAAGAAACAATATATCAGGAACTCAAAGACTATATAGCAACCCAATCTGCTCTCTTATGTACATCCTGAGGGGAACAATTTGTTCTAACAAATGCTATAATGTCACCTCTATGAAGTTTAGGAAAGATACCCAAGAGCTACTTTATATATTTTCCCTTAATTTTATTTATTAGACTCCCAAGTTGGAGTTAGAAATGGAAAGTAATAATCTTTCTATTTTGATGTGTATTATTTTTGCATTTATTATTATTATTTTTTGCTTTTAATTTTCCTCTGGCTTCTACGTGGCATTTCAAAACCAACAGAGTTAGTTATAAATGCTTCTTTAGAGCCAGAAATTTATGTTTCTGAAAATTGTGATAGAATTGAATCACTGCAAAGGATGTCTGCTATATGCGAGTCCAGTGATGTATTTTATCTGGCTGTGCATATAAGTGGTGAGGGAGACACAGAACGCCCTTTGAACAGTGCTCAGAGAAAAGCACAGATAAAAACGTCTTCTGCCATTAGCCCTGCAACGTGGATTGCCAGTAGCAGGAGATTAATTTAGAAATATGTTGAACTAGAGCACACTCAAAAGTCATTTTTTACAAATATGCAAAACCTCATCTAAAAGCACTGTTAAAATATTTTCTAAAACAATTTGAAAATCTTTCTGCTCAAGCTGACAGCATTACTAACTTCACTCGATAAGAAATGGAAGTTTAGAAAGGGTCAGACCTTGCTGAGAGAGATTGAGAGTCCTGGCATTTAAAGCGCCTTCTTGCTTTGATTTCAGTATCCAACCACTTTGCCACCTGCTCTGTGCAAGAGCACTGCTAGTTAAAAATGAATGGAATGAGCAGCCCAGGTTGCTCACCTCGAGAAAATCCTTGCTAACCTTGGACAAGAGTTAGTATTTCTTAGCTTCTTTCCTATTTCTCATACTTAAAATGTATCACAGAAACATATCCCAAGAAGCCTCCACATTAGAACAAAAACCCTGAAATAAATTAGGCCTCTTCTCTCCTACGATCTCTTTATTTATCAATATTTTTTAAAGGGACATGGATCTCTTGTACTAATTGCTCCCCCAATTGGCCAGTATATAAAGGCATACAATTATCCACAGATTTGGGGGTTTTGATAATCACTGTCTCAACTCTAGTGTTCTCTCTCCTTGCTTCCTTCCTTATGGATGTATTATCTTTGGTTCCTATTAACAGCTCACTTTAAACAACTATTGGACAAAAGTTGACATGACAAAAGTGCTTTAAAAAAAACCCTACCTGTGGAGTATTTAAACACAAAGGAGTATTATGAATTTTTAGCTTCGTTAGCTTTGTTAACCTTCTAGGGTGATGTAGGCATCAGAGTTGGAAAATAGATTCTACAGTTCCATTCAACATAACGAATACGAAATGTATGGCATATAAAAAGTACTACACTAGTCCTACTAGGGGAGGCAGAGATAAAACGAGAGTAGGTCCTGCCTTCCAGGAGCAGACATTTAGTGAGGAAAAAAGATATACACGAAACTATAATGAAACGCATAGGCCAGTTCATATTTGAGAAAGAAATGAACAATATACCATTGGAGCAAAGAAGATAGAATTATTATGAACTGTTGGGGACGTTGAAGCAGGTCTCAGGGAGGAAAAGGCATTTGAGCAAAGCCTCCAAAAGATGCAAAGGATTTCAAAAGGTAGAAACGGCAGCAGGGGACTTGCAGACCAGAGGACACATGGCAAAATAAAGAATGAGCAAAAGCTCAGGGCTTGTTAGAGGATTTTTAAGGTGAATAACCAGGGCCATGAGGCAGAAAGAGCTCAAATATTCTTTTGTCTTACTACAGAATACTCAAAATAGTATAAAATATTACTTTGCCTTACTCAGGCCTCCCTTGAAGAGGGAAGTTCTTTGCATGAAGTAAAAATGTTAGGAAAAAAAGAAATGGGCCCAGGAATAGCACTGTGCGCAGCCCCGACCCGGGGACAGCGGCCCAGAGGCCCCGGCCTGCTCCTTCACTGCTGATTTTCCTGTTTCTCCGGGAAGACCACATGGTGGACAGAACTTGGGCTTTAAGATTATTCCAGCCTGTGTTCTCCTTCACTACTGATTTTCCTGTATCTCCGGGAAGACCACATGGTGGACAGAACTTGGGCTTTAAGATTATTCCAGCCTGTGTTTGCGACTTACCTGTCGTCTATTGAACAAGATCCGGCTCAGTCTTCAGCTCAGTTTCTTTAATTATAAGAGGAAGTAAACTGCGTTGTTTCAAAGTCCTTCCTCAGTCTTCACATTCTTTCTTTATTTTTTTTTAAAGATTTTATTTATTTATTTGAGAGAGAGAGAGAATGAGAGATAGAGAGCATGAGAGGGAAGAGGGTCAGAGGGAGAAGCAGACTCCCCGCTGAGCAGGGAGCCCGATGCGGGACTCGATCCCGGGACTCTAGGATCATGACCTGAGCCGAAGGCAGTCGCTTAACCAACTGAGCCACCCAAGCGCCCCTCAGTCTTCACATTCTTTAATAACACCAGGACTCCTTGACTATGACTGGTCTACAATCCCAGAGATGTAGCCCGTCACTAAAGGACCGATGGTGTCTGCAGCCTCCCCCCGAAATTTCCATTAGGAATCCAGTGCGAACATTCTCCATTTCTCTGTAACTTCATACGCCCGTCCTTCCTGTCTCCCATCCTCCTTGTCTCCTTATTTATTTCTTCTTTCTGTCCTTACTTATTCTTTTTCTCTCCACTCATTTTTCCTTCATCTCTGTTTCCTTCCCCTTCTCTCTCCTTTTTTTTTTTTTTTTCTTTTCTTTCTATCTCCCTTCATTCCACAAATACTGATTGATACCTCTGTGCACCCGGTGCTGCGGTGGGTACAGGTTAGGAAGGAAGATGCAATCTGGATCTACCTTAGGTTACTCCCAGCATGCGGGCAGAGACAGACGAACAGAGAACTACAGTATGTTGTCACAAGTGCCATCATAACAAAGAACTCCCAGTGGCCAGCTCGCCCAATCTCAGATAATGAGTAAAGGCAATCCAGAAGAAGAAATACCTAAACTAGGACTTGAAGAATAGGTGGATGAGGGAGAAGTGGAGAGTATCCCAAGCACAGGAAAGAGTATGGGCAGAGATCCAGGTAAGAGCAATATTTGTGGCTTTAGACTGTCTCAGCATGGTAAGAATTTCCAGTATAGGAGGGAGTATATAGGAGCTTGGTCATCAAAGGCTTTGGTTCACGTAAAATTTAGATCTTTTGCAGTAGAGAAAGGTGCTTCACTGAAAACAAACAAATGCATGTGTTTCACAAAGATTGATTATTCTAGCTACTTGTGGGGAATGGTGAGAATGGGTAAATGAAGTGTAGGGAGACTAATTGAGAGGTCTTTGCCATAAACAGAAGGGAAGCGATGGTGGTCTGGACTATTGAGGCAGCAAGCATAGCGAGATGTGTGAAGATATGGGAAGCTCTAAAGAACTACAATCAATAGGATTGATAGTTGCATGTGGGGAAAGAAGCTGATTTGGGGGAGAAGTCAAGGGTGAAATCCCCTTTACTGCTTTTAGGCAATTAGAGGAATTGTAGCGTTACTCACCAAGTAATTAAATGGAAGAGAGCTAATGTCTATAAAGAAGTCATCAAGCAGCAATGTCCCTGGACCATCCCACTGTTTTTTCCTCATTTAGATTATGATATAGCACCTCAAGGGGTCAGGAAAGAACGCTTTACAGTGAGGAAGTTCACAGGTTGGACTTGATGTTCGAGGACCTGAGATTAAATCCCACACTGCCAGGCAATACCTGTATACATTTAAATTGCAGACATTTAAATTGCTATAAAGCATATTTCCTCCTCTGTAAAAGAATAATAATATGCACATCATAAGTGTCCTGTGAGGATTAAATGAGCTTGTGTATCTAAAGCATTTACCACAATACCGGGCAAATACAAATCAGTCAATAAACAAGAGATATATTATTGTCTATTTGCAGTTTATTGTGTTGTTTTTGTTCTGGAGGAGAAGATGACATTTTGTATAACGTTCACTGAAGGGAGAGATATGAGATTTAAGTTCTATTCCTGTTTTCGCTATTGATTCTCTTGGAGAAATTTTGTTTACTTCTCTGAGCTGTGGTTTGCCCATTTTTATACTTAATGACTGCTCCCTTTTTGTCTCACCAGGGAAGAAGGA